GTCACTGACACAAACGCCAACTTCCCATCGATCGTTAACGTTTTCATAAACAAGTGTTGGCCTTGCCTCTCCATCCGCTACGTCCGTCATAAAGTACAGCTCGCAATACTGCTTAAAATTCTTCACCTTTATCCTTTCTCCGTTCAAAAACACCTTTACATCTTTTACACTTCCGGCTAGATCATAGACGCGTTTAATAAGAAGCGCCTCGGTGTCATTGTCGATCGTGGTCATGCCAAACTTTCCAAGGTCTGGTTTGAATGTGATGCGAGTAAAATCTTCCTTTTTGCTGGCCGCTGTAAGTTTTGGTTGACTCATCTGGCTCATGTTCTTTGAAAATGTCTATTGAAATAAAAAACCGTACATTAATTTCGTCTTGTCATCGTATATAATAACAAGCAGTGCTATATCGATTACCTGAGTGAATGCCTTTCCTGATTGTCTATTGTTTGTTTCAACTGTGAATTCACTACTAAATATGTTACATAGTTTAGCTCCGTATCCATTTCGTCCTCCAGTGACTTTTTTCTCATCGTCGTCGTAATTAGACGAGGTGAGTAAGTGTCCGAATATTAATTCTGGCACGTAGACATTTTCTTTCTTGTGAACTTCCACTGGAATCCCCTGCCCGTTATTATATATGGAAATGGTGTTATTGGCCACATCTATAGTTACTTTAATGGTATCCATCGATGGATCACGAATCTTGCAAATCGAATGACATTGGGAATTAGAACATAGCCGATATATTGCATACAGAAGGAAAACGTGCGATGGACTAGATTTGAAATTTTCAAAGAAACCTTGTTATCGGCGGCATTTACGAGAATTTCATCGAATATTTTGTACAATCCAGGAACAAAAGTTATCGTACGACAGGTCATTGCTTCCTTTTCTTTGTCATACACCCATAGTGCCTCAGTTCTAGCGCATATCGAACCAATGTATGTATCTGGACGTTTTACAATATGCTCGATTTGGGTGACTTTCTGATACGTTTCTGTGCAAATCAGAATAAAACATTAATTGTCAGGGTAGTCGCTTGTGATTGCGCGCCTCATTGTGAGAATAAGCAAGGAAGGCGTTGCCTCAAACATATTCGAGAAGCAAGCTAATGACGATTGACGTTGGGCTGACATAAGCATTACGCATTGCTCACCTTCAACAGTCTTTTTTACTCTTGGTGCCAACGGTGCAGATACCATTGTTTTCAAGTTAATTGACAATATGTTACAAGTCTAAAGGATATCTTGTAAAAGTAAACAATGTATGTAGTGAAGGAAAGGGGGTTATGCAGAGGGAAGTTTGTGTCAAGGTTATCTCATTCATGAAAAGTTTTGTTCATAAAAGGTTTGTTTACATCACATCGTGAGCGACGTGACAGTGAACGCGTATTTTACAAATGGCAAATCGAAAAGGATCTGCAAATTAATGTCTCTATATATACGCGTGTAAATATGGGATTTGTACTGACATTTGGAAGCAGGACTTAGTATTAGGACGTGAAAGTCATTGACAAAGTCATGTTCGTGTTTCCCACACTTTCTTGCAAGACTGCTTAGTGAGTGTATTGGACGTTCGTGAATCGTTTCAATGGAACTGACAACATTTGGTCATGTGATTTAAAAGTAAAAGGCTGACGTGGCTGGAAAATGAACTAATTTAGATCAACACGAGTGAGATCAGGATTTGTTCTTTGCTCT